GGCTGTCCAACATAAAAAAGCTTTTTATATGCGGTATTAACCTAAGAGATAATAACATCTATACAGCATAGGTCTAAGAAAATATTTCCTCTGATGAAATCCAAGAAGTACAAAATATAAAGATTTTGTATGTATGATGATGATGATTGTCTCTATGTATGCATTTGTATTACATTGTATTGAAAGTGTTTGTCTACTGCAGTGCTCCTTGTCCCAGGTACTTGATAGTATTTGCATATTTGACTTAGATACCATCATTTAGCCATAGTTCAACCAAGCCAATTTTGATGACGTCCATTATTACATTCTTTTTACAGCAACAGCTGCTACATTTGACTGCTGCATCTGTTTTAACCTTTCTGGCAAAGAACCAGAGGTGCCAAGAGAACAGAAGAGTTACACCATCCACTGGCAGACTAACAGCCACAGCTGTGTTAAACTGCAGAAATGTGGCATCAGTAATCATGCAGAGAACCATAGGACTTACAGTCCTTTCACTGCAGCCACAAACATTTTTTTCACTTCAACACTCTTCTATAAAGAGTTCTAAATGCTTTATACCCAGGTGACTTACCCCCAATGACTGCTCCAGAGCAGTGTGTCGATCCTCCTTCTCTACTGTGCGCCTGCAGTCAGAGCACACCCACAAAGGCAGCTGGAGGGCACTGGGTGTCTTGGCGGGCTGTGCTGTACCATTCTGGCCAGAGATCCCTGCCTCTGAAGGCACGGCACTGTCTTTACGCTCACATCGGCATAAGAGGCAGCGATCACCGGCCGTGTAGGGCGCCCGCTGGTTCAAGCCAAACGTGAATGGGGTCTTTGGTGGATGTGTTAGCAGGGGGAAGTAGAGAAAGAAAATATACCATAAGGTATGCAGCCACTTTAGCAATTGCTAAAAGTTAAAATGCAATTACTGTTCATAAAAACATAATATAAACAAAAAATTTACTTTGAGAGATATTTTAAAATATAAATATAAATAAATACAAAAGATATTTTATAATTTAAAAATGTCTACACAGTGGCACATTTCAGTTATTTGTTGAGGGAAAAATTATGAACATCAAGCTATGTTAGTCAATATGATTTGTAATGCCAATTATTGTCTTTAAAAAGTAAAGTACAAGATTTGGTTTATTATTTGGTTTAGAATTTAGGTTTGATTGACAGTGGCGCCAAGGTTGATCAGTATCTGTAATATATTAAGCCAGATCACACTATTATTTGAAACCCATTGCACTCTGGGTGCTCTGTTTGTTTAAACCACCTTACTGCACTCTATTCAGATGCTGCAAATTTTCACCTAATGCACAGCCCTCTGTGAGTGAACCACAGCGTGGCACAAAGACATAATTAGCAGCCAGACATTTGAATTCATGATAGCCATATTGACAGTGTGTGTCTGTGAGCAATATGGTTTTAGGATTGAAAAAAAAAGGTTGATTTTAATTAATTTCAGCAACATTTTACAGGTGTGCCAGTAGTTCCCAGGAAATTCTGAATCTTTGGTTGCTGTGGGTTTCTCAAATTCAACCATTCCTCCAGCAGTGGTATTTTGTGACCAAAAGGCAGATCCATTCTGATACCAAAAAAGTAGTACCTGATAATGTTTCATACATTTCTACTTTCAATTTATTACAATATATTTTTAAAAAATATGTAATCTTAGTAATCAAACAATTTTTCACTGATCCACGTGGAGCCTTTTTAGCAACATAACAAGTATTGTTTATACTATAACAACTACATCAGGGTGTAGTGACAAAAATATAAGGTAACTCAGGTTAATAGCCACATGATATATTCTGAACAAGCCTGAGGTGAATTATTTGATTCACCATGTGGGCTGAGTACAATGTCTTATTCTGAACACACACACACACACACACACACACACACAACCCTATTACTTACTTAGTAAAGTGTAAACATGACAGCATATCTGAACATGCTCAGTTATGTGTATGTTGAAACGTCTGTACTTGTGACTCGTCAAACAGATTGATTTATTTTGGAAAAAACATTATGATTCATGTAGCCTTAGTTTATGACAGAGATCTTAGAGGAATATGATTATATTCTGATATAATTTTATCGCCAATCATTCAGATGCTGTGATTTAAAGTTTAGCTGCTTTTCTATATTTATGACTATTAATGTCCCTGACCAGAATAATTGCATTAATATAAAGTTTTGCTTATGTTAAATCTTCCCTTAATGGAAAAGTTTCGATGACTGTCAGTTAAAATTTGGCTGAATGCTAACAGACAGCTGCTTCTGAGTGATCAACACTTTAACACTGTTGTAAGGAAAACAAAAAGTGCTGCCAAGACTGAAATTTGTGTTATAATTGATCGTTGAGACATCTTGTAGTGTGCTTCTCCTTCTAGTGTACCTAAAGATTTGGCATGATGTACATTGTCTTTGGCAAAATGAGCATGACTTTGGAAGAAAAATTCAACAGTGGCTTTACATGGACTTCTGAAACACCTAATGTAAATTTACCTGTAGGACTCCGGAGAAGTCAGCGTTCACTGGTCCTTCTGTAAACTGCGGTGTAACACTGTTGTTCACGTTGACCTGAGGGACAAAAACAAATTGATGTTAACACAGAATTGACCAATTGGTTATGTGCTGGATTAATTACAATTACTAAAAGTTATATTAGGACAGAGAGAGTCAATCACCTGTAAAGATTTCTGATTTAATTTTGGATCTACCGCTGATTAACATGGTGAGCGTGTCAAGTAGAGTTCTGTATGTTTTGATGCGTGTGTGGTGCACATGCAAGGTAGAAAACTGATAAGCAGTAAAGTCCAACCTGTACATTCCTACAGTAAGAGACAGGTAGACTACTATGCAAACATTGTGTCTATGACTCATGATTGGACATTTGAGAGTCAATTCACCCAATTACAATAGGACACTTTCTCACCTGTACCTAGTAGTACCTAGCCATGCAGACAGTTTAAATTTTATTAGCTTTTTTGGTAATTGTAAATAATTGTAAAACTGACTGGTTAAATTCATAACAGATCCCTTCATTCCAAACATTAAATATTTGGTAGTGGATGGACAGCTGAGACAAAACTAAAGTTAATGTCATGTTATCAGACAAACATTTTTATATTAGTTTAGGTCAACAAATATCACAGTTTGGAATCATCTCTGTGAGCACACTTATCCAACTTTATATATCTTATTAAAAAGCATTTCTCAGAGTGTATAATTTTCTTATGATGAAGTGGAAGTAATTCTTCTGATATGCAAGATTTGTCTAGATGGAGCGGTCACAACATCCAAAGAATACATAGGCTACACATGTACATGTGCATTTGCTAGGTTAAACACTTTTTTATATTTATATAGTTTCAACAACACATCAATTATACACAAAAAAATATAAAGACACCTTTCACCTCCATGCAGGAAGACTACACAATTATAGGCTACATTTGTGATTTTGGTGATCCCAGAACCTAAGCAACTAACTTATAAATCGACAACTATGAGTTGAACCATTAAACATACATCAATTGCAAGGAAACTACCGAGCATCTCATGGTGTCAATGTAAGCTCTTGTTTTAGTGCCAACTTAAGGTATATAACTGAGCTAACTTGGATAACTGAAGTTTGACAGATTGTTCAGCCTAACAAGGAGCAGATATGACCAAGTTATAAACCTTTATAAACAAGAAAAAGTGGAAGGTCAGCTTGTAAAAACACATCGAGGCCCGGCGGGGCTGAAGTTGTTGGTAATCTCAACTGTTAGCACTAGCTAGCATTAGTGTTTATCTGTGTAACAGCAGCTTGTGGGCCAACCATGTTGAACATAATGGTCCTACAGAATAATCTTACCTTGGTCAATGAAATCTCCTCCTACCTGGACTGTATTAGCTCAAAATAATGCTTCGTGGTGTTTAATTTGTTGTCGATTCAGCTACGATATCTTACTTAAGCTAACGGTGGTAGTCAGCGTTCGGCCAGGGCAAAAGCAGCCTAATGTTTACGGCATTTGTTACAACATAAGAATGGCTACATTAACTACATCACTAACTTATACAGCTTGCTAGCTGGCAAGGTGCCCCACAAAGCACAGCAACCGGCATTAGCGATAATTAAGCCAGTTAATTTCTACCTACGTTGTATAGGTTAGTTAGCTAGCTGCCTTCCTCGCATCAGTATCGGGCCCAAATCAGATTTGTGTCGTTGATAACGCTGCTAGCTAGTCGCCCCCGTTTTGACATGCACCGGTTAACATTGTGTGACACGCTTACCTCTCCGTTTATGCCCGTGATGGACCCTATATTCCCGTTGCCTGTACTCCCAGGTGTTAAAAAGCTGACGACAGAGGCAGGTGTTGCTGGTCCCGCACAGCCTAGGGCCGTGGCAACCCCGGCCTTGCCACCGCTGGTGTTGCAGACAGCACTGCAGCTACTGCCACCGCCCCGCTTGTTCTTCCTGCGTTTAGCCCCTCGTTTAGCATCGGTGGGACTCATTTTTTCCACAAAAGAAGCGAGACAACTTGCCGTCCAGACTTGGCAGGGTCTCAAGTGGAATGCCTGGCGCAATCACTCGGGTATAAGTCCGGGGTAGCGATTTGGAGACTCCCAAAACGACAGACACTCAATTCCATCAAAGTGCAAGCCGACTTCATAGATTCCAATATGGCCTCTAGCTGGACTGCCTCAGCCAGACTTCAGCTTGCGTTGTAACGTGTGCGTCTCCCATCCCGAGGCTTATGGGAAATTGAGTTTGTTGTTGAATATCTCATTGTGGCCAGCTACACGAAGAAATTTGTAATAAGCTGGGATAAACATTAATGATGAATGCTTGAACCGCTTATTGATTCGTTCATTGCCACGTTTTCACATAAGTATTTACTCGGTCACTCAAATCGTTAAAAAAAACGTATTTTATACCTTAGGCACAGAGTGCAGACACCATAATTTAACAGCAGGGGGAGAGCGCATTCAGCAATTGATGTGGTCTGCTTCAGATGACAGCCGAGGGCCCGCACAGTGGTTCAGTCTTTCCGGGGTTCAATCATCAAGTCTAGTGAGGTAGTGGAGAGCCAAGGACTGATGAGAAGCTGGTAGTATATCTGTGTGCGTTTGTATTAACAGCAGCCGCACAACCTTTTAAGAAAACGTCCAGTGCGGCACGGCACGGAGCACCGAGGAGGATTTAAGTGTACTACTACAACGGCTAACAGCCCACAGCTAAATAGTTAGCCACGGCCGCAGAAAGGTAATGTTAACAAAAGTTTTCATCATCGCCATTCCTGTATGGCGTTCAGTTGCATATCTAGCGAAATGGTAAGAAAACTGTAACAATTTAAAGTCGTTTATTGAAGTTTTCCATTAGTTCGTCATCTGTGTTATCTGTTGTTTAGCTACGTTAATGTTAGCTAACAACACGTCAACGGGTCTGATGAAGTCACGTTAACTCAAATTAGTGGTCAGCCTAATGCTAACTAACTGGGAGGTGAAGCCACGGAAATATTTGCTGATTGTTTGCTTTTCAAACACCGTCTATGGCTTTATCCTTAATCACGCAACTTAACAACAGTATTATAATAATGTGTCCAGAATTAAAAGGTATTTTTATCACTTTTGGATGCCCTCTTAAGTCACGTGACTGTGCAGCAACAGGTAATTCACCTTGCTAAACCTAAGAGCCAGTTCCGGTGTGTGATATTACAGAGAGATACAGAGCAAGCATCGTGACAACAGCTGTAATCTTTAGCCTCCACCTTGTTTCTTATGTAATGTCAACAGGGTGCCAAACTTAACTGGGTAACCACGACTTAAATGGGTCATAATTTCCTTCAGTGAGCTGAAAATACACACCTAAACGTTGCCTTGCCTGCAGTCAGCTCACATCTGTTAATCTATATCAAAGGCAAGGATTGCTCTAATGTTTCAAGTGACCGTTGATATTCACCTGTCTATATATTTCCATTGATAAAAGCTTGAGATCATCAAGCAATATACAGTATATTTACAAAGCACAGACATATAAGAAAGCAAGTCAAGGTGCTTTAAAAACTGATAAAAACCCCATGTACTGCCAGCAGTATTCTTCTCAGACATATTTGTAATAAAGATTTGTGATTTCTAGTTGGTATGTAGTTTAACTAGCAGCTTCTTTACATTCTTTTAAATCCATTTATTTTTCACAGCCACTTAACTGCCTTGCAGATACAAGGGTTAGTGCTATAGCCTCAGCTTGAGCTACTCATGCATTATCCTGAAATGATCTATAAAAGTTTACTGGATGTGTAGGAAATAAACCAAAATGTTATTTGCCCATCTTTTTTTTTTGTATGCATATATGAATGGGTGTACAGTTCTTATATACTTTATGTATGTGTGTCTGGGTCTTTTTTGTCAAACAGTATTACAACATTTGTTTTCATCCATATGCCTTGAAAAGTCTTGGAGGATTCCTGAAATCCCTCCTAAACAGCAGTAAGTGTTGTTAAACAGGGATTTATCCTACAGAAAAACAGATGCTTAGCTCTTGAATGTAATGATTCACATACATACAAAAACAGGGGCTTGGGTAGAAGTGTACCATAAGAATCAGCCAGCTTGATAGGACCTATTCATTACCCCTCTATTTATCTGTTTTCAGGTATGTCTGAAGTTAGTCATGAGGCTGAATCGGAGAGGACCTCAACCGAGGACCCTCAGATGGATTGTGAGGATTCTGACAAAGCAGAGGAGAGTTTGAGTGAGAATGTGAAACAGGAGAGTGTAGACAACGGCAGGGGAAGAGATTACACAGATGAGGAGCTCTATGACATTGATATTGACAGTGATGAAGAAAATGCAGAAAACAGTGACAAGGATGTTCAGGAGGAGGATAAGGGCAATCAGAGGGAGAGCGTGGTGATGCGCAGGGATGGTGACGCTGCAGACATGTCTGGCAGTGTAGACAAAGGGGGACACGAGACAAATCATCATGTTGAAACAGCTGAAACACCAGTGGAAAGTGGAGATTCTCACACTGAAACAAAGGTGATATTTACCTTCGCTTTGGTCATTAAATCTTCCAGCGCTGGCCTTCTAGCCAATCTTCTAGCACTTCCTTACTGCATCTGTTCGTGTTGCTGATTTGAGCTTGATTTGCTCTGGTGGTGGCGGTCTCTTTCTTATTTAATCAGTTTATTACTACATTGACTTTTGATGTGAAGCATTATCTGAAATAATCACCTGACCTGACCGGAGTCATAGCCATAAAGTGATTGTGTTTGTTTCTTCCTTTTGTGTTTGTAGTTGTGTTTCAGATTTCATTCAGCTTTGCTGGAGGTCTTAGAGAAATAGCTGTTGTGTAGCTGTTGCTCCTGGTGCAGTTGGTGCCTTTCTTGCTGGTTGTTTGTGTGCTGCTCCTTATGTGTTTGGGAATAAACTAATCTTTCTCAATTTTCTGCCTTATATGAATGCAGGCTTGCCTCAAAGTGATTTTATCTTTATTATTATACAAAATACATTCAAAAGCACTTTATTAGGAACACCATGCTAATACTGTGTAGGACCTCCCTTTGCTCCTAAAACGGCCTCAATAATTTGTGGCATGGATTCCACAAGGTGCTGGAAACTTTCCTCTGAGATTCTGGCCCATGTTGACATGACTGCCCATATTATTTCTACAGATTTATGCTGCACAACCATGCTGCCAGTCTCCTGTTGTACCACATGCCAAAGGTGTTCACTGAACTCACTGTCATGTTCATGAAACCAGACCAGGCTAAATTTTTCCAGTCCTCAACTGTCCAGTTGTGGTGAGTCTGTGTCCTCTGCAGCCTCAGATTTCTGTTCTTGGCTAACACGAGTGGAACCTGACATGGTATTCTCTTTTTGGATTATCTGAGTTACTGTAGCCTTTATGTCAGCTCCTACCAGTCTGGCCATTCTCCTCTGACCTGACCCCTCTCATCTCTCATCGTTTGTTTGAGTCCACAGAACTGCTACTCACAGGGTGTTTTTTTTTTTTGTTGTTGTTTTTTTGCTCAGAAGCACTCAAACCAGCCCGTGTGGCACCAACAATCATGTCACTGTCAAAGTCAGAGATCACATTTTTCTCCAGCCTGATGTTTGATGTGAACATGAAGCTCCTGACCTTTATCTGCAAGACTTTATACATTGCACTGCTGCCATACGATTGGCTGATCTGATTGGATAATTTCATGAGTAAGAAAGTGCACAGGTGTTCCTAATAAAGTGCTCAGTGAATGTATTATATATGTATTGTAATGACATGTTTGAGACATTGAGACATTATTTGTTGGTTATAATATTCCTGATTCCAGCTGTTAGTAGGTATACACTCCTCTACAGCCCTTTGTGCCTTCTTTTGTTGACATTGACTTTGTGTAAGTGAAAGTGTACCATTTCCTCATCATGTTTCCCTGTTTGTAAGTTGGGTGTACATAGAGCTCTTGACTTCTACATGCTGTCAGTCACATGACTGGGTAAGTGAGATGGATTTGGATTGCTAGCTGCACATTCTCAGGCAGTCCCACATTTCTTGTGTTGCTGGAATGTGTGACTCCTAAGACTGTGGGCTCAGTGCCAATGTTGCACATCAGATTACAAAAAAATTTAAAATAAAAACTCCTTTTTTTTTTTTCTTTTTGTAATCAGTCTTCATTTAGTAACCATAAATGTAGCACAGTTGTAATCAAAAATGTTCAGGTCTTGCTATAAGACAGTTTGAACCCATCATTGTGCAACATGGTTGTGTCACACTCTTCCGTAGTTTGAGAGGCAAGAGAGGATTCTTTCCTCTTTGGCTGACGCAGCTAATTGTACAATTAGCTCATTGTTGTTATCCATCCCTCTCTCCCACGTCAGGTTTGCTTGTATCCAGGATACTGAACTGTAGGCAACGACAAACCATGGCACTCCAAACCTTTCCCCCTCTTCATATGCCTGATTAATTCGCAACCACTTAACTACTATCCCTGCTCCACTAGGCTGACACTATTAGCAAGCTTTCCTGCAAAATGTTTGCAGATGGTGGGTGGGATCATTTTGGCTCAGAGACCCCTGATCATCTGTGGAGCCATTGTTGAATTAGTTCCAATATGTTTTGCTGATCAAGAAGACTCTTAAATCCAGATTCATGGATAGATATGGTATAGCTGCAGCTAAACAGATGTAGGCAAAACAATGCTGTTCAGCAAATTTTGTTACAGTCTGTTTGTATTTACTTATTTTTTCAAAAGCATGTAATCAGATATGTGCCTCTGCCAGACGGCCTGTTTAAACTTGGTGTCAGAGAGGACTATCAGGCAGGAGTCTGTCTTATCTGCAGTAGTTGGTGAGACAAGCTTAGCAGTGTCTGTGCTGCCTGCCTGCATGCTGGCGTCATATGGCGTTTAAGTATTTATGTGTCTGTTACATGACAACACTCAATCGTTGTCGTTTTATAGAGCTCGACTTTGGTCTTTTTGTAATATGTTATATTCGGGTTGGCCATATCAGAAATCTTTGCTTATGGACTCTGGTTTTAAAGAGACATGTTTTGACTCCCAGAGAGGAAAACATCCAAAAAATACAAAACTCAGCTCTCAACTCTTTACATCTAGTCTTCTCCTCTGAGACCAGTTCTAACCCTTTTTAAATGTATTTGTAAAGCATTAGTGTAATGTATTATCAATCAGTTGATCCACTTCACAAATATTTTAAGTAATGCTTCTTCATTTAACTTGTTTTTAAGAAGCTATCAGCTTATAAATACTGTATCATGCTATTAATATATGTATGGTTTCTATCAGTTTATGCATTTCTGTACTTGGGGGTGACGCTGCCTGTCATTTTAGGGTTGCATACTACTACAGAAATCCTCACATTTCCAACTGTTTGTGCAGTTTGTGCACTAGAACTATTTTATTCATTCATAGCCTGCACTAGAATCAGATGTTTACTGTGTTTACAGTACTGTGAGGAGTTGTACCTTGTGGTCATTAAAGATATAATTTACTAAATGAAGTAAGTAAACCTGCATGCTTTAACATATTGAAGTAAGTGTTATGAATATAAACCCATGATTTAAACTCACCTTTTTGCTAACACAGTAAAACCAGTCATTCAGTTTAGACTAGACCAAGATCTTGTTACCTGGTGATCTGGCAGCTATTTGCATTATTTACACACTGGTTGAAGTCCATAGGTGAAGAATCGTGCTCAAATATGTAAATTAAGATTTGTTGATTATTGAAATAAAATAAATGCAGTAGTACCGTCTTTGCCAGATGTGGTTAATGAACATTAACCAGCTGAAGATTGTTAGGCCTTCCAAGGCTTGCACACACAGCTGTATAATTGTTAGGTTACTGCCCTAGTTCCCAAGTCCACAGTGATTAGATCTGAAAAAATGTACTAAAACTAGCACAGCTGTATCTTCAGCATGCAGCAACGGGCAGCCAGTTTATTATAGCCTAAACAAAACTCATGAGGCCACAAACTGTTGTCTCCACCCTGTGGCTTGCTAGGAGCCAACATGTTAATGTGTAGCTAAGCTAGCCAATGAGTCACTGTGTCATTTTAATCTACAGGGACCATGATCCACGTATTATAACAGGTCTTTTTCCATATGATTGTTAATTATATTCAAGGTTAAGTAGACTCTTGTCCCATGTGAGCTCCTGTAGCATTAACATGAAGCTTTGTATTTGCTAGGAATTACTGACTTGAATATGGCAGTAACAAACCAGATATTGTCTGCCCAAACCATTGCTATGGAGAGCAGCAGATGTTAGCAGATGCTTTTTCCATAGCGTCATGTGTGTGGCCTTATGCACTAAACTGTTATGGCTCACTTAATATAAGATAATGTGTGTTAAATACTAAACACTACAATACTAAAACAGGAAGTAATGTATGCAAAGGGTGAGAATGGTGACATGATCTTGCTAACATACTAAAACTTGAAACGTGCTGTATTTAGTAATGAAACAGTGTGGTAAACTAGAGGAGTGTTGAAAGTTTATGCCAGGTATTGCACAAGAACTTCATTACATGGGAAATACTGTAATGCTGCAACATAACTGACATAAAGCTCTCAAAGCTCGTCATCCTCTCCTGCAAACGAATGAAAGGAACAGTTGAAAGAGGATGGGTTTGGGATTGGACAATTTAGATACCAGTGCCATAATCTTTTTTTATCCGTATACGGTAATTACAGGTATAATGTTAAATAATCAAACTCTTCATTGTTTCATTGCATTAAACTGTTTTCTAATGTGAGTCATATCTTCAAATTATGTTCCTGTTTTTTTTTACCTTTTGTAGGATATTGATTGTTCAATGATCAATTTACAGTCGGACTTAATATTGTGCATCTTGTTAACATATTGTCGTGTCATCACTGTGACTCCACTGTGTATCTATAATTATCAGCACTGAATCCAATTTCAATCTAGTATCCACTGTGTCAGTGTCCACAAGATGGCAGTCCACAGCTATTGTGTCTCAGAGGTGGTCCCTCTCTTTGATGTTGTCAGAGGATACTTTGAGCAATAATCTTCTTCATTTCACCTTCGTCATTATAGGAAAGCACAATGGCTGAGGAGTTTCATAGAAGCTCAGCCGCTGAGATTCCAGTCACCAGCAATGGAGACCTGGATCAGAGCCCTGAGACAGTTTTTCAGAGGGTAAGAGTTTATTTAGAGACTTATGAGAACAGCACCTCAAAACTATATTACTGTCATAGACAATATAAGTACTGGCTTCCATAACAAAAGCTCAAATAGGTCCTCAAAATGATGATGTCTTTAACAGCACCACTACCTGATGTTATGATACCTGTGTCTGTGATATCCACTCTACTCATGGATAAAAATGAACGGTGCAACCAAATTTTCAAAATTGGTTTCTTTAGAAATGTATGCAGTAGTGGGGCGTAAGGAGATGTAGTCAGGTTGCTTGTTTTACTTTGAACAACAGTTCATAACTCAGATATTCAGTTTACTGTGATATGGTAAAGAAAAGTGTAAAATCTTGAAATTTCAGAACCAGGAAATTGTTGACATTTGTGCTTGAAAAATATTTAATTTAATATTTTAAATAGTTGCATATTAATTTGTGGCAATTGAATAATAGACAAATTGTTACAGATCTACAAAACAGGTTTCATTCTGTGTAGCAGCGGTGTGCTCAGACATTCAAGGTGAGATCGTTCCAATGAGAAGTCATTTCGAAGGAGACCTCAGAACACCTTCTCTCTTTCCCATCAATCTGACTGAGCTGGCAGAGCTTCCAGATGTTTATCCCAAATGTCTCACTGTCACACTGACAATCTGTGGCAGAGAAGACACAGGAGCCACAAGCATGTAGGCGGATTTAAAATGTTTAATTTTGATCAAATGAGTTCAGACGGGAATTTACGAATTGCCCCGAGGGACTTAACTGTATATTGACCTATTTTTTTGTCTCACATTGATTATTTGTGTCACTATGAACCACATAGCTGCAGTTCACTAATTTAGGTTTGCCATGAGTTAACTTTTCTTCTTTCACTCAATCATTAGAGTAAATGTTTGCTTCTGTACAATCAATCATTTTTCCCAATCCACAATTCATAATGATATAATTGCAGCCCCCACAATCACACTTATGACTCGATTTTAAATTTAGTATATTTTCTCTGAATAATGAGTAGAACTTACCAGACAGCAAAAACCAGGTATGTGAAGAGCATGTTTATGTTAACATGTCTTTCACCTGATTTACAATAAAATGGCTTTAATCGTGAAGTAGGTTCAGGAATTGTTTACCCAAACAGTAGCTTGAATATCTCAACCAAGGTTAGATACCTCAACCACGAACCACCAACACAAATACAGAAAGTACACCAAACCTTCTACATGCAATTGCTGCCTGTCTGCAGGGAACCACTAAACCCTGTTTGAATGTTTCCACAGGACGCTTACCCCAGTGGCCCTGGAGCCCTGAACCTCTCAGAGTCCTGTGTCACCTCCAGCAACTTTGCTTCAACAACAGAGGGCATCATTGAATCAGGACCATACAAAGGTAAACACTCCAATCCTCAACTCTGAGTTTTGTGATGCAGCAGCATGTCAAAAACTCAATCTCAGACCTTGTCAGCTTCATACATCATTTGATTGTGTTGCAGCATTCTGTATTTACAAACCGTCTTTATCTCCAGTGGCTGCACTTTTGGTTTTTTAATCTCTGTGAAATTTGAAAGGCAGACATTTGAATTTGTAAAGGTGGACATCCAATTGAATTTAATGAGTTTCTTCTGATCTCCAGGTTGTAACCCTCCTTTCCTTTTCATCATCACACCCTTGTTACAAATGCAAATAAAAATCTCCCCATAGAGCAGCAAGCTGTTGTAGCCCGTTTACCACAATGTTGCCATGGCTATTTTCCGTGTTATTTACACTGGATGAGGTAGGCTTTTGTTCATTAAAACATTCATCCTGCAACATGGGGACAGCCAGCGTAATTTAAAAAAAAAAAAAAAAAAAACACACAGGAAATCAACATCAATGAGAAATTCCCCTTACTTGTGTAGGTGGGAGCATGACATACTAACGAACCATAACTCTGAATATCTCCCAGGGTCAGCAAGCCTGCCCACGTCTCCCGTGGCACCTGTAGCTCCCAGCTCGGCTGTTGCTAGCCGCCTGGCGCGCTCTTCCAGCGATAGTCAGGCTGAGAAAGGTACCCGCAGCGATGGAGCATGAACAAGATGATACTGAATCATCACCATTTGCACACTAAATTAACCACAATCTACTGTACCCTTCTTGGTTTTCATCAGTTTCTTACCCTCTCCTTGTTCCCACAGGCTGTGCTCCATTCAGAATCAAACCTTTCTTCTTCTCCTTTCTTGTTTATTGGCTCTCCAAACTTTGCCTTTGCATAAGTCCGGGCTAACTGATGTAGTTTTATGCTTTGCAGTGGCTAAGTGTTTATATAGTCCTTTAGGGTCATTTTCCTAAGATCTAGAGCTCAAGATTTCTAGATCTGATGCAATGTCTTGATGCCTAAAGCATTTGCTTCTCCTGAAAGAAAACTGCTTTCACATTTAATCTCAGTGGGTTTCCCTGCTTGCAACCTTTGTCCTTGCAAAAGTTGGCACCCATAGTCTCACTCTGTGGAGCCCCAAAACTGACAAAATGTAGTAAATGTAAGGCAAGAGAAATGTATGTGAATGAATACTATTGTTAGTCAAATAATTACTATGCAGTGTGAAAATAAATATAAATTTGCCTTTAGGTAAAAAAAATGTTTTAATTTATTTATTTTTACCACCATAACACAAACCTTAAGTGTAAACTGTGGTCACTAAACAGTGAGCATTCAGTTAATGTTAGTTCACTGAAGCTACCAATCTTTATAAAGCTACAATGTACATAATGTCAAACATTTAAGCTTTAGCTATTACAGAGTGTATAATTTTAACAAGCAAATGCTAACAAAGTTAGCAAGCTATGGCTAAGTTTTTAGTTTAGCTAGCTTGTCATTATGAGAAAAGGGAAATTAAAATCCATGACGAATTTTAAATCTGGTCCAACTCAATGAAGACAAGAAACACACACCTGAAGATGAAAGGTAGTTAGCTAGCTACTTTATTAGCATTAGCTTTTCGGCTAAAAGTATATAGCGCCATATCTTTTTACACTACATTCTAATTATTTAACAATATTATTTATTGATGTAGTCAGATCTATTTTTGACTTGTACATTTTGTCTGTTTTTTGGGATATCTTTCAGTATTTCCTTTCTGTGCCCAAAACACAATGAAGCACTATTCATCACTTTTACTGTGATTGTTAGGGGGGTTAATCATGACTAATTGTATTTTCATTTTGAACTGAATAATCATTGATGTCATCAGTGTCCTCTAATGCCTTTTAATTCAGCATGTGGTTTTTGTTGAAGTTTCAGTGTCTTCACGACAATCTAATTACACTGTTTGATAATTATAACACTTGAAATGTACCTTCTTAATTTTCACCATAGCTTTCTAGCCTGCAAAGCCAATAACTTAATCACTCACTAAGTGAATGACTTTTAATTGTCCAGGCGAAATGAAAGCACAGCCAAACAGTGGAGCGTTGGTCCTTTCAGATGACTTAAAGAACCCAGCCATGGAAAAACTGGACCTCGTGAGAAAGTGGAGCATCAACACATATAAAGTAATCCTCTCTGTCCTTCATTTATTTTCATGTCCTGTCTGCTACATCTCTCAGCCTTTGCATCACTCTTTGTCTTCTCTCAGTTAATTAGGATGTTGGCAGAAAATGTGAACTATACCCCAAACTGACAACTACAATAACTGATAACTTTTCTTGCTTTAGACTTTGTTGTTTGGCTCCACTCCCTTTTAATTTTCTCTTTCAGAATCCATTTCCTCTTTCTCTCTTGATAAAAGCACAAACTCCCCACAGTCATCCATAGTATTTTAAAATGCAGTTTGCCTCTTACAAGTTTGTTCGTTAATAAGCCTGATTTCCACTGCAGTGTACCAGGCAGATCCTGTCAGAGAAGCTGGGTCGGGGCTCGAGGACCGTGGACCTGGAGCTGGAGGCTCAAATTGAAGTCCTGCGTGACAACAAGAGAAAGTACCAGAATGTGATAAAGCTGGCTCAGACGCTGGCCAGTCAGCTGTCCCAGATGATGCAGACGCAGAGGCAGCTGGGCGACGCTTTCGCCGACCTCAGCCTCAAGTCGCCAGAACTCCATGTGAGTCCATATATTTAGATACATTGAAATAAATCAGATTAGGTAGAACACAGTGAACAGTCAATCATCGTCGTGTAACTTAGTTACTTATTGTCCCAGCAGAGAGTCTGAGAGAATGTGAAGCATATGCATTGACTTGTGGGCCATGTGCTGGACAGTTTTGTTTTCCTAGAAGCTACTAGGACTAGCTACCATAGATCACTGCTTATTATCGCTGTTTATTGTTACTGTGCATTTTGATTTTAATGAAGCATCACATGACAGTGATACATATACTATATGTAGTACTGTATCTTTGTTGTTTGAATTGTTATTCTAACTGGATATTTATTTTACATGTAGGTCGGCTCAATCTGTGGAAATATTGGCCTCCCCACGGGTTAATCTGTAAGGGTGGTACTAACAAAATTCACTCATACAGTTTCGGTAACCACTAATACTCCTGTATGTGTGTTCAATTGTGTTCTTCAGGAGGAGTTTGGTTACAACGCTGACACCCAAAAGCTTTTGTCCAAAAATGGAGAGACACTGCTGGGTGCCATCAACTTCTTCATCTCCAGTGTGAACACACTTGTGGACAAAACAATCGAAGACACCATGATTAATATCAAACAGTATGAAATAGCCAGGTAAAAAATATGTTTGTTCTGCCTGTGCACCAGCTCCAATCCACAAAATCTATACAAATAGTTGGAGAAAACATTTTTATCCTGTCTGGATGTTTTGGTCAGTGCTTGGTGCTGGGTTGAATAACCTTACCTGTCAAACTTAAACTTTGCAAGCATGTTTACATGTTAGTGTTTTTCTCCACCTGATTAAAATAAGTTCAGTATTCACTTTGGTCTCCACCAGAAAAATATCTGGCTCTTTAACTTCCAAATGCTCCATGCTCAAAATGTTTTTACTAGTTACATGATGACTAATCACGCCGATGAGAGCCATGACACTGAACAACAGCAGTAAAATTGCAGGCCGTAAAACCAAACCAATGAGCTGAAAGGTGCTAAAATGCTCCGTAACATAGAGAGGAACAGCAGAGCCAGGTGATAAATGTCTCCTTTTGTTGATTAAATGTAACTTGTGGACCGGAGCTGGGGTTCAGGGGTTACTCTTGTCATTGGTTCATTTCTGGTAACCTTGCCCTTAGTAATGTACTGCAATGTGCGTGTCCTTGCATATTGTGATGCATACACACACGTTATACAGTTCTGATGGTGTTTAAATAATGTCTCATCCCAAGGGTGGAATATGATGCATACCGCACAGATTTGGAGGAGTTGAATCTGGGGCCACGTGACGCCACCACCATGCCCAAGATCGAGCTGTCCCAGCAGCAGTTCCAGATCCACCGTGAGAAGTACGAGAGGATGCGCAACGATGTTTCTGTCAAGCTGAAGTTCCTGGAGGAGAACAAGGTCATCTAGAGTGTAGCTCTGCTCTACATACCTGCGCCATCTTATCAGCAATCAGGTTCAATGTGCTCATCGTCTCTTTTTTTTCTTTTTTTTTTTTTCCCTCTTCTCTTCTTCTCCCAATCAGGTGAAGGTATTGCATAACCAGCTGATCCTGTTCCACAATGCCATAGCTGCATACTACGCTGGAAACCAACAGCAGCTGGAACAGACACTCAAGCAGTTCCACATCAAGTTGAAAATGCCAGGTGGGGACAGTCCATCTTGGCTGGAAGAGCACTAATCACTCCTTTCAGAGCCATAGTGGCACAGTTTGGGGTTTTGACAGGAGATGTCAAATTCTACAAAATACTACAGGAAACCCTCTTCTCACATCAACTCTTCAGTCACTGCCTTTCGAAATCTCTGAATTGTAAATCTTTTAACGAAATGCGGTAAAAGGAAGAAAAAAAAAAAAACCCAGAATCTGTTTTACTCTTGAGCTTAAAGAATGCTATTCATTTTTGCAGTTATTTCAAATCATAGGAAACGCACTTTTATACTGTTTGACGAAAATGTTGAACAGGAGTTGCTGCAGTAAACACATTTGGAAACTGTAAATGGCCTTTTGTATTCCAGCATATGAATGTTGTATCCCAGCACGGTGGACATGCTGGCTGTGTAAGGGCAGCGTCTGGGATCAAAACGACTGCCATTTCACTCACATTATTGACATCACTCTTATGAGCTGACTGAGATGAGGATGAATGCTTTATGAAAGTCTAATCAGGAAGATTCTTTTTCGACTTATACTCTTTGAGGATTTGACTTGACACCTGCTGTGATGAATGGGGCAAAATTGCTTTCAGGTTTCTGAATCATGCAAATGCTAATTGATCACTTTTACCAGCAAACTCTAATTAAAGTAGTGTTTTCGACATTTTGGGAAATATTTTTAATTGCTTTCTTGAGAGTTTAATGAAAAGAGCAACACCACTCTCCTATCTGTCAATTTGATTATAGCTAGCAGCTGTTTAGGTTAGCTTAGCATAAAGACCAGAAACAAGGGGACACAGCTAGCCTTGCTCTGTCTGACAGTAAAAAGTTCTCCCTGCCAACACCTGTAAATGTCGCTAATATAAAAACCAAAGTGTAAAAAAAAAAATCAAGTTGAGGTTTTATGGGGAGGTTGAGTACCTTAGGACAAAGCCAGGCAAGCAATATCCCCCTGTTTCTAGTCTTTATGCTAAGCTAAGCTAAGAGCTGCTGGCTCTAGCCTCATATTAAACAGACAGACATGAGAGTATGGTGTATGGTTTGGATCTTTTCATATAACTCTGAGAAAGAAAACAAACAAGTATTTCCCAAAATGTCAAACTGGTCCTTTTTAAAACAGATTTAAAATTCATAGTGATGGCTGTTCACAACAAATGCCACATTATGATACGATTATGTTGACATCATGCTTTTTAATCAATATTTACCGTCTGGTTTTTTTTTTTTTTTTAGCATTTCCCTATTTTGTCCAAATCCATGGCACATGACTGAATGAGTGTGTCGATTCTCTTAAATTCCAGAGAAGATGAAGGAGCAGCCTTATGCGACTAAATGTGCCTTGATTTCACAAATTTGCTCCTGTCTTTCCCCTTCATGCTAACTGGTCTTATTATTGGAAACACTACCAGTTTTCGGGACCAACTCTCAATGGAAGAGAAAGGACCAAGCACATGCACGAACACACACAAACACACACTCCAGGGATATAGACAGATAGCCTATATCACATCTAAACACTCTATACAACACAAATGATAGCTGTGTTTGAAAGGAAAAAAAAGCTCCATCAACTTCAGAAAGTGTAAATCTATTTGAAGACATGCTGTTCTCAAAGGTATTTATCCATATTGCACATATGCACATTTATGCATTTCAGACTAATTACAAAAAGAACTGTAAGAACTGTATGATATGTAAGGTGTGAACCAAAATACAATTAACTTGAGAAACTTTTTGTCTTTTGTAAATTTAAAAGACCAGCATTCTTTACCTGAGCTGCTAACAGTTTCCGTCACTGGGCTATATAAAAGTATTTTTTTCAAAGGGGGGCTTCTGTGCTCTGGTATTTCTAACCAGCTCTCATGTCCTCACTTTGTTGATTTGTACTTTTCCTATGGCTCACTGTAGCAGTTTGAGAGTGTGAATCTTGTACAACAATCTATTGTTTCCCTGAAATAGGTGGATATATATTTGTAATTTTCTCTATTTTACCACGAGTATGTAGTTTATGACCAATGCAGCCATTTGGCTTTTGATTTTTTTTTTTTTTTTTTTTTTTTTTTTTTTTTTCCTGAAGACCTACAGAATGATATGCTAGTACTAGTATGTACTAGTTGATCTCTACCTTTTGTAATAATGAAACATTAACAAATGTTGAGTTAAAAAGGATCCAGAAAGTTGTGTAACCGCTTTGGGAAAATAAAAGTTTCTTTTCTTTAAGTGTCTCTTTTGTTGAGGTTTTGTGGTTGTAGCTTGTTTGGAAAGTCACATCCAGGGGTCAGCAAAGAAACATGAATCACGGTGAAGCCCTATACTACCTCTGGCTTGTTGTTGACAATGGGCTACAGCAGAAAAGATACAGACAGTGTCACAGATGGGACACAAAAAGCTCATTACATGGCCAAATGAGAATTTACAATGATTTGCAGAATGTTTTTTCAAGTAGACTTGTTCTGCCTCATCCTGTTTTTTCATCAGTGTTCCTTTCCAGATAAACTGTGGCCAACGGAGGGACTTTTGTTTACTCAACGCTTCTGAGTTTTCATAATTGCAGACCCACCACATCCACATGTATACATTTGACAGGATCTGGTTGATCCTCAGAAAAGCCTTGAGGATGTCGGTCGCAGCCTCAGTGTCATGTTTATCTGTACGTTGTCAATCAAATCTGGCTCTTCAGATCACCACGCTAGGGCAAAAAGGATTATAGCATAAGAACACCTAAAACAGCAGTTTTTCAATGTAATGAACCAAGAACAGTCATGCACAGTTTGCGTACAGGAATTACTAAAGAATAATTGAAGAAATTCAGATAATTGGAGAGAATGCACAAAAGAGATTTTATGGCACCATGTTAATGTGTGAGATCAAAATAGAAACCACTTTATTATACTAAATGCACTTTATTCAATGACAATAATTGTATGAGAAACATTTTGTAGCTATTGTAGAAAAACTGGATGGGTTTTCATAGCACTGAAAAATAGTGATATGACAGATGTGAAGAAAATGTCCCGTCTAGTTAGACCTACAAAAGAAGTCTGTCTTTTGAAAAAAGTGGGTGAAGATAAAAGGGAAATTGCCTTTAGCATTTTTAATCTAGTAATCTTTTTTTGGTAATCTAGTTCCTTATTTCTAACACCATTTAATTCAAATACAAAGTCTGTTTAAGACAATAGAACAACTACAACACTTTGAGTTGTGATCCTGATTGTGTTATCTGGCTCAGATATGTCAGAATGATGCTCATTGAAAGGCAGAATCAGTGGGCAGGGAAACTAAAGGTTGAGTAAATTATTACCTTTACACAGGGCTCACCAAACAACCAACAAACTAGCTGATAAGTCCTCTTCTTACAAATCAGGCCTTTTGTTACTGCTTAGTGTCACTGTCCAGTAGGTCTACATCTCTGACTCATGACAAATGCAGTAAAATATACTGAAATATTCAGTGTTCAGATTAAAACTTTGTTTTTTTGTTATAGAACAGCCAAAATAAGGAAAGCAAAGTAAAGCTCTTAAAATGTGTAAAGTCCAGTGTGTCCTCAAGGTGAAATGGCAGTTTTTTCCTGAACAGTTGATACATTTTGGGATGAATGTTAAGTCCTGACAGCTGTCAGAAAAATGTGGTGGTAAAAGTCAGATTCTACAGATTCCCTCTGAAGTCAGATCCTTTACTCACACAGTGCACATTTACTCCACTGTCCTAATTCAGATTTCTTTTCATAAGTAACAGTACATTACCATCAAAGTGTCAAAAGTAAAATTGTGCATTTTGTAAAAAAAAGCCCCATTCAGAGTGTTTATATAGTTTACTTATTGGATTAATATTACAGATGAATTAAGGTACAGGCAGCATTTTACTGTTGTGGCTGGTGGACAGGGAGCTACTCCTGGCTGATTCTATCTCTATACAAAATCTTAATCTGCAAAGTAACTACAGCTGTCAGATTGTAAAAAGTACTATATCTTAGAAATGTAATTAATGATTATTTTAATTACGATTAATCTACCCATTATTTTCCTAATTATCTAAGATGTCAGAAAACAGTTTTTAAAACATGCCTATTATATTTTCCCACGCCTAGGGTGATATCTTGACATGTCCGGTTTTGTCTGACCATCAGTTTGAAGATGTTCAGTTTACTATCATGTACAACAAGAAGCATCAATCCCCACTTGGGTGCCTGCCAGCACAAACCTGATTAAATGTACCTAGTGGCATGGACTCACCTTCGCCAGCTCACCACTGGTTGCAGCCTTGTGATTGCACCAGTGGTCACAAGCTGCGTGTGTCGCGCGCAATGGGACACGTGAACGCGCCTGTTCCACCTGGCCCAATCACGTACGAGGAAGCTCCAAACACCGCCACCGCCTGCCCTTCCTGCTGCTGCTGCTGCTGCTGCTGCTGCTGCTGGTGGTGTTGTGTGAGTGAATGTGTGTGTGTGTGCGTGTGTGTGTCGGTGTTTGTGCTGCGGCTCGGTCAGGACAGGCGGCAGCGGCTCACCTGACGGGCTGATAACTTGAAACGCAACACAGATTTTCTCCTCTGAAAAGTATCTCCTACTAACTATCCAACGGCGTCGGAGCGGATTACGTGTCCCGACGAGCCTGCTCATCCCTCCGGTAAGTCAAGCAGGACGGTACCGCCGCATCATGCTGTGTGTGGATGTGCGATATGTAACGACCTGCTGTAACTCTGCTGTGAAAAGTCCCTGTGCTGTGAGAGTGGAGTCTGTATGTACATTTTAGCAAAGCAGTAAAGCCTCTCCTGTGGCTGTTACCTCTCTCTGAGCCTGGAAGGTGACTACACAATGTGTCCTGCAATGCAGCTCACGTCCAAAATTACATCATTATAAAGATTTAGTGTAGTTTGAGGCCTGAATCTGTTGATTTACTGTATGTTGGCAGTGTAAAAACAAAGGAAACATCAGCTTGTTCTCAGTACTTTCAAGATTTATTTAGCCATAGCCATTTAATATGGCTGCAAGACACCTCCAAATATGCATTACTACAGATTAAATGAAGGATTTTGTAATCTAAGGTGTAAAATAGATATAAATGTGAGTGTTTTTGAAATATTATGGCACTTATCAGTCAAGCAGTCACGTTCTAATTTAATAGTATAAGTAGTAATCATACGGTATCTATAAAAAGTTTTCATATTTTGTGTTTTATAGTATAGAATCAAAGTAATTTCATCTTTTTGTTTGTTTTTCAGAACTACAATAACCCACACATAACCTTTTATTTCCTTATAATTGGCACTTGCCAACAGTCAAGTCTCTTTTTGCACATGACTGTAGCCTAGAAGTTTTGATGAATTGGCAGTTTACCTACTTGCATGATCCATTAATATTGTATTTGAGCTGGATATAGTTTGAAATTGTCCTGTTCACGCTGATGCTTTGTTTCAGTGTTCAATAACAAACTAATTTGTTATTTTCAACCTTTGTTTTATTCAACAAAGGTATCCAAAGTTCTCAAATTTACACTGCAAGCAACCACACAAGAACTCTATCTGAATGAAACTGTTGAAAACTGGAGACATTTTTGATTTAAATCAGGAAATACCTGATCAGATTATAAGCAAACACATCTATGGATGTGACCAGATGTTAAATCCCAACTTTTGTCCTTAAATTTCTCAATATCTGGTGCTACGGATGGATTTCAGTTGCAACCACAAAAGTATTGAGGTTCGACATAGCCCTATACTTTGATGGACATTTTCATTTTACGTTAAAGTGATTACTGGAGTAAGAATCAGTGTTAGTTGTTGTGGTGGCTGTTGTGGAGTCGTAACAGAACTTACTGCCCCAGCCCTTTTAGTTCAGCATGTATGGCTTTATAACTCTGCCCCTGTTGGTTTTGTTCTGCACCTCAGACCCCAGCTTCCTTGGCTTTTGTACACTATTATCCAAGCTGAGATGAATTAGAGGGCAATCCATTCAAGTGTTGGGAACAATACCCCCGTGGAAAAAAAAGAGTTTCTCCCCGGGTCGGGTCAAGGGGGAGGGCGGTGTCACCCCCGGTTGCTGTGGAGACAGAGAGTAACATGGAAAACTCAATTCTCTGACGTCATCCCGAGGAGGAAGATATCGGGGGGCTTGATTTATTTGTGTGGGAGCGAGGAGGGGCTGAATAGCGGTTGGCAACTTGGGTCAACTCAAGTGTTCTTTATTGCCTAAAAATCTGTCCTTGTCTTATAAATTCAATTTCAACCTGCAATGAAAAATGGGAAAAAGATTAAAAAAAAAAAAAAGATGACAAAAGAAGAAAGAGATGAGGAAGAAAATTAAAGCATCTTTGGTTGCCTGCTTGTCTCCTGTGTCACGCCCTGAACTCCCATCCCCTGTTACCACCCAACGCTCACAGCTATAAACTGACTGATGAAGAAAACAAGCCCAAAATAAAAAGTTTAGAAAAGACGAGGCTAAGACATTTTATGAAACATCTTTTTCTGCAGGGGTAAATAGTAAATATTTTTTTGGGGACTTGTGTACATTGTTCAGAGGCAGAGTCACAGAGTCTGTAATGTGATCCACGTGCACGCACTGCCTGTAAGTACTGTTTCGCAGGTATTAAAGTCTACTCTAATGAAGCCTGTTCTGTCTCTGTGCCCTTGGGCAAACACTTTTCCCCACTGCCATGTAAACATGTTTGCATTCCCTCCATGTTTCCCTGCTGTTGTCTCCATGGTGACCTGAGCACCTGCTTTATTTGTCACCTTTGTATATGATAATCACCTGCGCGTCACTCAGGATCTGTTGCTTTTCTACTGAATCATACAGCACGTGTGTTATAATGCTCAAACTGGTGGTGATTAACATGTGAGCTTCTGTGGCAGACTCTGGTTTGAAAGTAGACAAGGCAAAAGACCGTGAGGCCGAGGAGGTAGAGTGAGATTTGCCTGAAGCTGCTCTCGGCACCGGGCTCAGATTGCTGAAGCAACAATTGGAGCTCGGAGGCAGAGGTAATAGAGTCGCAGTGGTCTGCTACAGGCCAGACACTGATCACAAGAACAAACAGGAGAAGATTCGAAGCTCTGTTTTTGATCTGAAGGCCCGCAGACCAAGTATCCCGTCTCATCTCATCCCTCCCTCTCATCATTACCCAGCCTGAGTGGGTGTCGTTTCGCCTGGTTTACTTTTACTCCTTTGTATTTTTTATTAGGAGATTCAATTTTGTTTTGTAATGTGACGTGTAATGTGCGTCTGA